GAGGGTAACCAAAACGTCTGGATTATTTGGGCAAGGGTCTCTGGGGGGAAAGGCAGCCCACCCCTGGGCTGAAGACTTCAGGGTAGAGGGTGGGGTATTCTATAATCCATACCCTGTAACTGGTAGAGACTGAGGGATGCTGGGAGAACCTGGCAGCCAGGTCTGCTTTAATATGTTAAATAGGCACTTCTGCCTTTTCTCCTGGGTTTGAAATTTAGCACACATCACTTACTGTTGATCAATCTCACCCCCACTGCCAGGGTTTCTCTTTGTAGCCCTGGTCATCCTGCAACTCTGTAGACCTCAAAAGAAATCAGACCTGCTTGCCTCTGCCTTCCAAGTGTTGGGCCTGGCATTCACAGTTCATTATTAAAGGAAGCCCTAGTAGGAACCTGGAGGCAGGAGCTACTGCAGAGGTCATAGAGGAGCACTGTTTACCCGTTTGCTTAGCCTGTTCTCATAGAGCTCAGGACTAGCAACCCAAGGATAGTGCCGCCCATAGTGAGCTGGGCTCTCCCTCATCTGTCACTAATTAAGAAAATGTCCTACAGCCCCGCCCACAGCCTGAACTTATGAAGACACCTCCCCGCCACCCCCACCCCCCGTTGAGGCCTCCTCACAAGAATCTCATGTCAGATCCACACAAAATCAGCCAGCATACTTTATTTCACATCTCTCCCCAGAAATGCTGTGTCATAGGAGGTTCCGTCTGTCAGTGTCTGCATAGTAGAAAACAGGCTTGGTTAGCGGGTTACTAGTTATTGTTAGAGCTAGTCCTGTGGGCACCAAGGCCTGTCTTACCTCTTAGAACAAGAGGTTGTGTAGGCCCTTTGTGAGTTCAGCCAAGAATCTAGGGTTTCTGGGGCCAGAGTCTTCTCCATTAAGGCAGACTTCCTGCACAGGGTGAGGGATGCTACTGTTAATAAGTAGTGTGGGAGGAGCTGAAGACAGCACTAGGGCCCCAGGAAACTGTCCAGCACAGGAGGGGCCTAGGATGGCCTCAAGCTCTGCTCTGCAGGTGGCCTCTCTTCTGAGCAGATGGGAGCCAGCTTTCTACTGCCAGCTGGGACTTGTTCTGGGTCCTGTGGTGGTATACTGGCTGGTTTTCTGTCAACTTGACGCAAGCTTGAGAGTCATTGGAAGAGCAGGGAGCTTCAACTGAGAAAATGCCCCATAGGATTGGGCGTTAGGCAGGCCTGTAGGGGCATTTTCTTACTTGGTAATCGGTAGGTGAGGGCCACCTTTGGGTAGTACCATCACTGGGTTGTTGGTCCTGGGTGCTGTAAGAAAGGCTGAGCAAGCCAGTAAGCAGCACCCCTCTATGACCTCTGCTCCCAGGTTCCTGCCCAGACTTCTTTCAGTGATGGACTGTGATGTAGAATTCTAAGCTCTTTGCTTTTGTCAGTTCCATGAACACATACTGCTTCTCACCCCACGGCCACCCCCACCTCTGAAGCAGGGCTTCTCTGTGTGACAGCCCTGACAGTCCTGAGCTCAATCTGTAGACAGATCCTCCTGCCTCTACCTCTCAAGTACTGGGATTAAAGGTGAGTGCCATCACAGCTAGCTTTTCATTTGTTCTTTGCTACATGACTAGGCCTTTATGGTTAAATTTAACTCAGTTTTTTGAGTTTAGAGTTCTCTTACTAATCTTTTTTCTTTAATTGTGTATGAGTATTTTTGAATGTGTGTCTACGCTATGTGCATGTCTGCTACCCTTGGAGGCCAGAAGATGGTGTTGGATCTCCGCAGACTGCAGTTACAGCTATGAGCCACCAGGAATCAAATCCTGGTCCTCTAGAAGAGCAGCCAGTGCTCTCTGCTGAGCTGTCTCCCCAGTCCTTTCCTGATTTTATGATGCTAATTTTTTAGCTTTCTTTGTTCCCGTTCATTTCTGTGTTTGCACACTGGCCTGTGCTTCCCTAAAGGTTGCTTTTCTGGGACATCCTCCCCTCCTCCCACAGAGCTGTCGGTCCAGCCACAGACCCTCCCTTGAGCTCCGTCAGTGGCTCTTTGCTGTGTGTTCTGCACTCTCCTGCCGCCCTGGCGGTATAGTCTGTACCATAGACAGTCATTTCTGGTTTGTAATCACAGCATAAACTCAGTCCTTGTAATAGTTTCTGGGTCAAGTGTGTATGCAGGAATAAGTTCCCTGCATCCATAATAACCCCCCCCCCCAAATACCCAGCAGGGATGTCCTTGCAGCACCCCTTCTGACTAGGATCTAACACCAGATGGTTCCCTCATCACGCTTCCTTCAGCGTGGGCCTCTAAGGGCTTCATGGACAAGAGCAAGGGCCACTCTGGGGGTTCCTATATGGTGAACAACCATGCAGCATTTTGTAAGCTTCCCAGTGGGACACAAGAATTCTAGATGTAGTCTACTAGTTTGACCATGAAAAGTGAACAGTCTGTAAACACAGCTGTGTGACAGTGGAGGGTAAACCTGGGTTTCACGTATCTTAAGAGTCACATGTCACTGGGTGGTGATGGTGCACACTGAATTTTAGCATATGGGAGGCAGAGAAAGGCACATCTCTTGAGTTCAAGGCCAGCGTAATCTACAGAGCAAGTTCCAGGTCAGCCAAAGCTATACAGAGAAACACTGTCACAGGGAAAACAAAACAAAAACAACAGAAAAAAATACAAAAAGGTCTCATGGCTGGTGCCTCCTACATTTCAGACACACTCTAGCCATTAACCTCCAAAGTCTTCCACTGCATGGTCTCTCATCTTGACTGGCAGGCACACCAGAGGCTCTGAGGTGAAGGTACCTTTCTGTGCCTTGATTGGGATTGGGGGTGTGCATTCATTGAAACTGATCATACAGCACAGATTTGTGTGTATTTTGTTGGATATAAACGTTCACTTGAAAGATGAATAACTAGTACAGAACTCTGGCTAATAATATGCATGCTGCACTCCACAGCCTGTGATCTGCTAAGCACAGGTGGACTGGAGAGGACGGATGGACCAATGGAAAATGCAAGTACAGTCTCTGTTCTTTGGTGTCCTGGGTGGCTAGAACCCTACCAGGGCACCAGAATGTGAGGACACTCGAATGCCCTGAAAAAATGGTGTAATGTTTGCATAGTGCTTACTCCATGAAGACGTGGTGACTTCTGTACTTGAAGTCATCTCTAGATGACTGGTAATACCAAACACAATGAAAATGATACTCTATTGTTATGATCAAGGGGTGGGGACAAGAGTCTGCACATTTCTGTAAATGTTTGGTTTGTGGCCCTGGAGCCTTAGTTTGTGGAACCTGCAGACACTAAATCCTGACCGCAGGAAAATGTCTACAATTTTTAGATGGTGGGTTTGTTACTTTTTACAGAAAAGTTGTAAAGTCATTTCAACTTTTCTGTGGTTAAATAGCTTGATAGTGTCGAAGAAAGGGGCAGGTGCACACAAGAGGGCAGGCTAAAGTTAAAGCTTTTGGCAGATGAACCCATGGTATCTGAGGTGGAAAAAGGCTAAGTGGCATAGGTGTCGGGCAAGAGACCTGCAAATGAAATAGGTTTAGATGCAGAAGGACATATTAGGGGCTCCCGAACCAAGAGCTTAGTGACGGCTGAAACAAGTGAGCTTGAGGAAGGGACTGCTCATTGTGAATGTGACATTGGGGAAAAGGCAGTGCAGGGTTTTTGTGATATGGCGTTTACAAGGTAACAAGCATCTCCAGGGTAAGAGGAGGCACTTGAGATGGGGAGTATAGGTGTGCTGATGGTCTAAAGATAGGTGGGCATGTGGGAATGGCCTGAGGAACACTCAGGAACTTTGGGCAGAGTGAGGTTCCCCAGGGTATGATGGTGAATTAAGAGATCACTATGGCAGGTGAGATTCTGCTGAGCTAGTATAAAGGAAGGAACCAGAAGGTGGAGTATGTACAAAGGACACCCATGAGTGCTAATGAGCAGACAGGACACTGGGGCTGCAGGAGGTCCTGGATGGCAAAAAGGCGGCCACATGAGGGAAGTACTGAGAGAGATGCTTGGGTGATGCAGATGTCAACATCCCTACAACTATGGAGGTTATGTATGGAAAAGGCTACCCACAAGAACAGCTGGAGGAAACCGAGTATCCAGAACAAGCTCTTTTGGTGTGGGTTGATGGCTTAGACCTTGGGACGCCGTCTGGAAGTGGTGATGTGCAAAGAAACAAACACTATCTGGAAAGCTGAAGTGGACCTGGCTGAGAGGATGGAGCTACAAAGACAGGGCTGCTTCAGAAGGCAGGAGGAGCATGCCATTCAGGGAATTTTGCTGACAGATCAAGTTGCAAAAGCCCAGCTAAGGTGTGTGTGTGGAGGGGGGGGGGTGCATGTGTGTAAAAGGCAGTTTGGACCAGGTGGGCGCTCAGAGTGTGTAACTCATACGTGTAGGAGTGTGGCTGGTGGTTTGAAGACATGGTGAAGGCCTTGTTCAGCATGTCTGTTGGACAGCAAAGGCCAGATGCAGCAGCCTCAGTAACATGCTAGGTCTCCAACCTGCATGCATGGGGAAACTGGAGGCCCACTTGCCCTCCCACAGATACCAGGGTGCTGGGCTGTGGGGCCTGCCAGAAAGTTGCGCTGATTGGCACAGCCTCCTGCCTGGGATGTTTCTTGCCCTAGCAGGATGTTTCCTCAGGCTCCTAGCAGTGCACTAGAGGTCGGGTGGACGTGGGAGATAGGAAGGGAAGATGGAAGGCAAGTGCTCCCTCCCCAGGACACTTCTTGTAGATTATGCTAACAATATGGTGGACAGCCATAGTGTCAGCCATGAAACAAGAGACTTAACCTCCTGATGTGAAAGAAGACATGTTTTAGAGATGAGTATTGAGGACCTCGGAAGGGTCTCAGCTCTGAACAAGTCAGTTAGCAATCCTGGGGAGGCTAACTCCTCACTCCAGCATGGCATCACATCCTTCTGGGGCATGTCCTGGGAGGTTGAGCCCCACGCCTGTTCCTGTAGGGGAGGTGCTAATGAAGAAAGCAAGAAATCCAGGCCCCAGAATTTCTGAAAAAAATGTGAAACTTTATTATAGAAAACTATCTTCAGCTCTCCAACTTCCCAGTCAGGCTGCTTGAGTCCTTGATTATCTGTGGGCTATGGGGTCTCCGAGCCACAGTGGTGGACAGAAAGGCTGATGCTTTTATTGTGGGTTGCCCTGTGGCAGGCTGGGACCAAGGACTCCTTGTGTGTCCATAGGCCCAGTGTCATAGCCGAGCTTCTTCATGTCTTTGGTTACCACATTGAAGAGGAGGGTGACAAATCCCTGAGAGCGGACACGGGTCACTGGAGACATGAGGTGAGCATTAGCTGGGTTTGTCAGGGATGGACACAGCAAACTATCTGCTGAAGCCCTTGTGTAGGAGGTATTGTAGAAAATTCTCTGGGTGGCTTGTATATTACCAGGTTCCAGTTGTCTGACAGCTCCCTGGCCTTTACCCATCACCTCATCCCTTCAGCTAGGATTGGGAACATCAGTTTTACCTTCTCGGCCTTCACCCTGGGCCACCACCTTGGGGTCTGTGTACTCTGGCCGCCGTCCCATGAACCAGCTGAGGACATAGGAAAACACCAGTGAGGAACACCTGGAACTTGCTGGCCTCAGACACTGAACAGGAGTGCTTCTGGCATCCTCTTAAGTGTAGGACAACCTTTTGCCTATCTGGAGGCCAGGTGGGGTGCCAGGAGATGTCCCCTGTTTGGGTCTATGGCCAACAGTCCTGGCAATGCTTTTGCCAGGTGCTCCAGGAAGTGCCCAGCCCGCCCAGGCAAGTCTTGTGGGTTTGCATCACCAAGCACAACCTGACCCCATGGGCACCCCACAAAAAAAGCAGATGGGTCAGGAGAGGAGAAGCAGGACAACAGTGTGACCCTTAGCCTCCTCGGGAGAGAACCCAATCTCAAGAAGTGCCAGACTCAGCTCCCCAAACTGCCTCGTATGGGATTCAGAACAAGTCCCACCCTGTCACTGAACCTGTTTGTCTACAGTAAGAGATAATCGCACCTACCTCATAGGACAAAAGAAGTGAAGGCTACCACAGAACGTTACCTTTGGGAGAATCTGGTCTTGGAAGGCTCTAGGTAACAAGTCACCTGATGTTTAAAGTCTCAGCTAGCTAGGGGTGTCATTCAGGCCCCCAGGCTCTGACTGGAAACTCAGAAGCACTTTTTACAAATGTCCAGTAACCCACATAGGCCACAATTCCAATGCACCCTGACTTCAGAGCTTGGGCACTCAGGCCTCTGAGACACATCGACAGCATGTACAGGCCCAGGATTAGCCGAAGCACAGCAACCAGGACCAACTCAGACTTTGTGGGACCACTCCACCAGCATTCCTGTTTGCCTGTGGAGGTAGGGTTCTGTCTTTTCCCTGGGCACTTTGCAGCAGGTTTGAAAGGTAACCGTGACTACACATCCACCACCCGTAACTATGCTGAGGGCATGGCTGGATCCCTGGGCTCCCAGGCTAGACCTCAGCAGCCTTACTGGACTGCTAGGCAGGGCAGGGGGTCCTGAGGAAACAACAGTACGCAGTGCTTTTCAGATAACCTAAGGGGGAGCAGGGTCCCTGAAGTTATACATTCCAGAAGACACTGGCCGTGTGCGTGTGTATATATATACACCTCTTCCTGCTTTCCCATCAGAGCAAAGCTCTAACTATTCACCTCAGTACTGAGGAGTCCCAGAGAGAATCTCTGGCAATAAAGGCACATCCCACCCTCGCTGGGTCCCAGTTCTCTTCTAAATCTACATTTGGTTTTCTCGTCTGAGACAGACTGTTCGGGGAGAATATTCCAGGCAAGGACTGCGGCAGAGCAGAACCTAGTGGGCCCAAAAAATCCAAGGCCAGGCAAATGGGAAGCAAGAAAGAGGCTGCTGGCATTCTGGCTCAAGTGACTCCTCAATGAAGAGGGTGTGCCAAGGCAGTTTCCAGCAGCGACACCACCCTACGGGCTTTGCAAAGACTGGGGTGGAGGGAGGGGCTGCAGTGGCTGACTAACAGCTCTAAGGATACTGGGCAGGGACATTGGGAAGGTGGCCTTGTCTGTGAGGAGGGTCTATGTGGGAGTTACTAAGGTTGCTGCCAGGTAGGAATTATCCTGGGTTATCCAGGCAGGCATAGGCAAGGTGCTCCAGTCTGTCCTACAGCTCAGAACCCTTTTTTCAGCCCTTTCAAAAATGGGTCCAGGCCTCTTCTCCAGGGCTATAAGACTCTGGCCAGGTCCCTCTCTCTGCCTGATACTAGCTGACAAGAGGCTGCTCACTGGCTGCTGCCTGGGAACAGGGTGACCCATCACTTGCCTTTCATCCTCGTCAACCTAATGGGGAACAGAGGTGACAGGCAGCCATCTGGGCTAGCAGGCCCTTCAAACCCCTACTTGGATGTGGCAAAGGCCTTTCCTCTGGGCCATCTCCAAGGCTCTTATTCTGTTCTCTGGGACCTTTTTGATGCTGTATCCTCGCTCCTCCTTGCACCCCTACTCCCCACCCCCAATCCCTCACACTTGCTGGCAGCAGCAACTTTCTGGCTGCTCCTAACTCTTCAGTTTTCCTAAGGGACTTCAAGAGCTCTCAGGGCCATGTGTGTGGAACATGGTTCCCGGATTCTTCATGGCTGCTACTTGACTCTGCTCTTGTTCCTACCTAAAGTAGCTCCCCAGGGGTACCCATGACAAGTTTGCCTCATGCTGCTGCAGCCTGATAAACATGTCCACGTGACAAAGACGGACAGAGCACAGAAGAGAACCTCATAGCCTTAAGCTTCCAGAAAGTGGTCAAGGAAGCCCAAGGATTTGGCAGTGCCCCTGCCTACATTCCTGTTTCCACCTGTCTTTAAGTGCTGCCTGTGAAGACCTGGGAGGTTTCCAGGTGCTGGCCAGTTGGTTACCCATTAGCTCAAGGGCAGCAAGGCTGCAAGGGGAAGACCCACCTTGTGAACTTCTGCAGAGTAGACGTAGACTCCGGCACAAACATGGGGATGGTCCTCTTGTGCCTGAAACATGTTTTCACACAGATGTGCTGAGGAAGGGTCCTGGCCCTGTGGAAACCTTCCCAGGCCAGGGTGCAAGCCTGTACGGATGAAGGTGTGTGGCTGCACACAGGACCTGCTCTTTTTAAACCCACTTCCATTCCTCTCCAGTAGCACAGGCATCCTACCTACGTGTGTCTCTTCCCAGGTGCAGACTACACCCAGGCTGCTTGGGCCCCTGAATATCTTGCCCAAGTCCAAGGAAGGGACAGTGGCCAGAAAGCCTGCTGTCTAAACATGCTGTCCCCAAGGTTTGCCTGCCCAGTAAGGGGCAGACTGGGCACCTACCGTCCAGGAGAGAAGGGTACGTGCACCACTCCGTAGCCTCGAACCACATCGTTCCCAAATACGTCTGGTCCATATACACTGAGCACGATCTGTGGCCCTTGGGAAGGACAAGGTTGGCATGTGGGAAAATGGGTGGGGGCTCAGCACATAATGGGCCTGGCTGAGGTCTGGAGCAGGGACTCAGGATGCTGGCCAAGGCCCTGGGAAACCTGTCCACACCCAGGGCTTCTGTCCTCCTGCTCCTTTCTGGGCCTCTGCTGGTGTCCTGGAAGCACTCTCCATACCTCTGCTCACAGCTGGGGAGAGCCAAGACATTGGGTAGACACAGGAAGTCCTTTGGAGGCTCCGTGCCAATCCTGGGCCCCTGCTTTCTTCCTTTCTGATGGATAGAGTCTTCCCAAGCTACGACACTATGTGGGAGGGGCTTGTTCCTAGGGTTCTGAGAGCCTTCCAAGTATTTCTCCCTAACATACTGATGTTTACATATGCTTCCTCATCACGTGCAGCCAGGGCAGCCAGGCCTCCACCTCCTAGGTGTCTGACCTCTGGGCAGAGCAGATTGCTGCAACTCCAGATGACGGGGGAGGCCTGGAAGCTGGCTCTGTGGTTACTGCTGAATCGCCTCAGACAAGTTTCCCAACTTTTTTGCCCTCAGCTTTCTTGTGTCTAAAAGCTTTGGAATAGTACCAAACATGAGGAGCTCAGTAAAGGGTAACGAAATCTGTGTCCTTCCCACTACTACTCTGCTACCAAAAGTAACCTGGGAGTTACTCGGTTCGTATTTAGTGGTTTGCCCATTCTCAACACCAAATACTGATCACCACAGCTGTACCGCAGTCAGCTGTGAGGAGTGAGGGCCCACGGGCTGCTCCTCCTTGGAGAACTGCTGCAGTGAGTCAGATCACTCACATACAGACTCGTGTACCATCCCTGAACACTGCTGGGTGTGCGCTCAGGAAGGGACTCGCGCAGACAGGCGGGTCCTGTTCACTTTCACAGGTTCACATTACACTCCTCTCCATGGGAGCTTCCCCCAGCGGTGTTCTCTGCGCTGCCGCCACACTACACACTTGGCAGCCTTAGCAGATCAGCATTAACCTGGCCTGCTCAGTCTCCGTGGCTTTGCTAGCTTGGCGAGGGCTTGGCTGTAGGATGAGGAGGAGCCTTTGGCCGGAACAAACAAGGGCTCAGAAGAGTGTCCCATGCCACCAGCACAGGACGAGCAGGTACTGGAGCTGACTGGAGCACTAGGCAATGGGGGGTTGAGCAACCTGGGGTCAGACCCTCCAGCTAGGTGGCCACAGCACTGTACACCAGACTCTGTGTGCAAATGGCAGTCAACAAAACAGGCAGATGCTGAGTACATCAAAACCAAGACGCTGGCAGTGGCCACCTGAAGGAGGAGAGTGGTGGGAGGTGCAGCAGAGGCCCCGCCCCTCCCATCAGGGCCCAGACTCACAGCCATAGGGGTTGGTACTTTTAAAGGTGACATCGATAGGGAAGTTCCACACCAGCGCTTGCCGTACATCTTGGCTCTTGGATGCTATCTGTGAGATCCCCTCCTCCAGGCCCTGTATAAACATTGACAGAGACAGCTGGTCTCAGTTCCAGGTATCATGCCCCTTCCACTTATGTAGGAAGACCATTTCAGTTCTTTCTGCATGGCTTGTTCCCACTTTTCTTTAAGATAGTTACCCCAAAGTGCCTTGGTCTAGAGTCTGTCCTCCCTGTTACCTGTATACTCTACTCCTGATGCACTGTCCTCTTCCTCCTCTTCATCCCTGACTAACAGACTAGAGTGTGTCCTACTTATTGTATTGGTTTCCTCTACAAGATCATCTGCTCCACAAAGATGGGGGCATCTGGCAGGCACTGGTCACTCCCAGAGGACTCAGTAATAGTTATTAAAAACTGTTGGGTCTGTGAGATGACTCGGTGGGTAAAAGCACGTACTGCGCAAGCCTGACAGCCTGAGAGAGTTCCATCCCAGAACCACGGAGAACAAACAGATAAACAGCCCTGGTGTGGCGGTATGAGAGCAGCTGGAGACGGGGGAATGGCAGGTGATGCTCTTGGAGTACAAAACACAGCAGCAAGAAACAAGAGTCTCTGCCTTAAAACAAGGTGGGAGATGAGAACCAGTTCCAGAAAAGTTGTCCTCTGTCCCCAACGTGTGTGCTATAGCGTGTGTGTGCATGTGCTGTACACACAAAATAAAATTGTTTTTAAAATTCATTTTATAGCCAGGAGGTGGTGGCACACACCTTTAATCCCAGCACTCAGGAGGCAGAGGCAGAAGGATCTCTGTGAGTTTGAGGCCAGCTTGGTCTACTAGCGAGTTCCAGGACAGTCAGGGCTATACAATGAAACCCTGTTTCAAAAACCCTTGCCCCAAATTTTCACTTTACTGAGTTTTGCTTGTTTGCAAGTCTGTGTACTGTGTATGTGCCCAGTGTCTATGGAGGCCAGAAGAATGCATCAGATCCCCTGGGATTAGAGTTAAAGATTATTGTGAGTCATGTGGGTGCTCTGCAAGAATATGCACTCAACTGCTCAGTCATCTCTCCAGCTCCAGGGGATCTGACCTCTGACCTCCCCAGCCAGCTGCATTCACACCCATACACATATACATTTAAAATCAAATAAATCTCTAATAAACACTGAAGCATCTTTTTAAAAATATAAGTCCCATTAGAGAAAAAGAAAACAAACAGAAAAGTATTAACATGTCTTTGGTACAAATGAAGAAGCCCAGGCTCAAAGAAGTTGGGCTTCCACATTTTTTATTTTCCCATTTGTTTGTATATGTAGCCCAGGTTAACCTTGAACTCCCAGAGATGCTCCTGCCTCAGCCTCTGTGCTGGACTGCAGGCACACAAACCATGTTTGGCTAGCTTCCGCTTTTGAAACTACCATGAGGGTTCAGTGAGCACTGTGAGAGCAGAAAGGCATGGCGGGGCAGTGGTCTGCACAGCCCCTTCCTGCGGTGAAAGACTGCCCTCAAACCCCTGAGAGGCGATTCTTCAATCTCTGCTGTCTGAGGAGGGGCCAGCTTTGGGGAGGAGGGGTTATTGGCTGATGGTGTTCACAGCCACTGGTAGGCAGTGTTCCAGGGTCTGGTAGCTTATGCTGCCATTTGTCCCTCTTGGCTGCCACCAGCAGACTCCAAGAATTTTATCAGTGAACCTAGTAGTGGCTGTATTCTGTAAACTAGCTTTGCCAGGAACAAACTCATGTTTGGGTCCTCTCTGACCTTAGTGTCTTGTCCACCTCTTGGGTCTGGGATAGAAGGGCATGACAGATACTTCAGGAATCACTAAAGCTCCAAGCAGGGGAAGCCCATGAGTTCAACTTACCGCTGTGGGGGCCCAGTCCTGGCCGTACACAAAGCAGTACTTGCAGTAGAGGTCATCGTACTCTGGAAACTGAGAGAAAAGCACGCAGGATTCTGTTTAGGGAATGCAAATTGAGCCCACACATTAGCCAGGCAGATGCAGTGGGTAGGAATTAGGCGCATGAGGCACCTGGGATGGAAGGTGTGGATTTCAGCAGGGCAGGGGACAGAAATGAGGAAGTAAGGGTTAGTCCCAGACTGCCCACCTCGTAGGCTGTTTTGTGTGTCTTTCTGTCTGTGTTTCCCAGTCCACTGTCTGGCAGGCCCCTTGCCCATCCTTCAGAATTCACGCTCAGGGAGCCCGTTCTTCACTCCTTATCTGGTTAAGGATCATTGCTTGGCTCCCTTTGCCTTCTGCATTTCTGCATCCAGGTACCCAATGCCTGTGTCTGCTAACCCTCTCTGACTGAGGAAAGAACAGGTTTTATGCCTTTGTGTGTCCCCAGTGCAGGGCACAAATTAGATCTACAGGAACCATGCTGATGTGGAAACCAGGAAGCTACAGTTCTATGGGGAGAACTGAAGGCCTGGGAGAAGGGAGGACCCAGAGCAAAAGACGGAGAGACGAGGCTAGAGTACTCAGTCCAGTTGGGCAGCCTTCCATTGGATAGAATAAAACGGGAGGACGCAGCCAGTACTGATCAATCAGGAAGGCAGGTAAACCTACTGAACCTCGGGCCTGGCAGAATGTCACTTAGTCAAACCTCAGAATAAGTGGGAATAATGAGCATTTTCAACAAGCAACCCATAAGAATAACGTACTCAAGTGCTGAGAGTCAGATGCAGATTGGAATCCCACTTGGCCACTGCCTTCTGGTAAGTTTTCCTAGCTGTTAGGAGCGTCAGCGGAGCCCTCACTCTCATTAGTCCCAGCCCATCACTCAACCAAGTAGACAGGATCCAAGCTGGAGGTCATAGAGTGATTTTGGTACCAGCTCAAGGTCTCGAGGGTTGGACCCAGAAATCTGGCGCCAATGTTTTCAAACGCTGGTTCTCCTTCCAACTAATTGAGAGGATGAGAGCAATGACTTGGCTCTCTAGAAAATGAGGGAAGAATCCGGGGAGGGGAACGGGCCGGCCCCGGGCGGGGTGCACGGCAGCTCACCTGGGCACTCTCCACCTGCCCGTTGACCATGAGCAGGAAGACGCTGGGACTCGCAGCAGCCATCGCACCGCTGGGCCGGGAGACCTGCGTAGGCCGCGCGCCGTTGCCAGGAGGCTCCTGGGTTGCCTTGGAAACAGATGGTAAGCCATCTGGGACAAATTTCTCAGCGGCGGCGTTTGTTCAAGAATTAGAGTGCGCAGGCGCAGTGAAATTGACGGCCGTGGGGATCATCTCCTTTGCGCTGCGTGAAACTAATCTCCAAGGCCGGGTCCTGGGACCCGTGGGGACTGTGACTCCACTAGCTTGGTCATGCTTGAAGCTCGCAGGCTGGAGAGCTGGGTGATGAGAAGCAGCTGCGGGACTCTGACCCGCGGAAAGTCACGTGCTAGAGTTACCTCTGGCCAGAAGGTGGCGCTGTGGCCGCACCCAGAGTGGCCCAGCAGGCATAGCCTAGCGCCCCGCCCCAGGTGAAGGGTGTGCCCTTCAGGCCTTTGCAGCTCTTGTCTTCGAAACCCTGAGAATCCTCCTGTCCGAGCCCCCGCTCCTGCATGTGAAGCTGGGGTCCACGGAAAGTCAGCAGTCCACGTACCAGTCACCCGTTTTTAGAATCACTAGCAGCTCAGGGGTGTTAGAGCTCCGTCCCAGGCCACTAGTAGACACAGCTATCATCACTTGGCTCCAACCGTACTTATTCTCATCATTGTCTAATCCAAGGAGGCTTAATGCTAGCCTAGACTTTGCCTCTAGATTCCGTGTGTCCTCGACGCCAAGCCCATTGTAAACACTTGGGAACTACTTTTTGAATGAATAATTGAGTACATCTCCGTTTTCTGGTGGGAGAGGGTAATTTGGCCACATTCATTGCAGTAGTTTAGGCGTTACATGCAGAACTTTATAAGTAACGATTAGAGACCACATCAAGTATTGGAGAGCCTGGAAAAATGAATACAAAGAGGTGCACACTTCAGGGAACCCAGTCTGAAGTGTGGGGTCCAGGCCATGACACCAGCTGCTAGCTTGGGAGGCTCTCGGGGGTTTCCACAGCCACAGAAGAGGGAAGGTGTGTGCTCACAGATTTCCCCATGGGCTAGTGTAGAAAAATCTTTAGAATAGCGTCAAGTCACATAAGCAGAGCCTCTAAGTGGCTTTCCCCTTGCTGGTGGCTGCCACCTGCTGGTCTCAACTGGAAGAGTTGGACAGTCACAGGCTTTTGATTGAGCCATGATCAGAGAAGCGGGCACTCTCAAACCCCAAATTATTCATTAGATAAGGCTTTTGCGTCCTAAACCAATGGGTGAGAAATTTGAGAAGGGGCTGTGCTGGCTAGTTTCATGTCAACTTTGCACAAGTTATAGTCGTCTCTGTGGAGTGAACCCGGACTGAGAAAATGCCTCCTTAAGATCTGACTGTGTGCAAGCCTTTTTCTTTATTCCCTTTTCTTAATTAGGAGGCTAAAAGGGCCAGCCAAAGAAAGCCACACAGGCTCTGACAGCAGAGCCAGCCCAAAAAATCCACCCTGGCTCTGAAATCAGAGCCAGTGAAAGAAACATACCTGAGACCTGACCTGAGCCAGTGAAATACATACTTTAGCCGTGAACCCAGAACCAAAGAAACATGTCCTGACTCTAAAACCAGTGCTAAGGAAACACTTTGTCCCCAGAATCAGAGTCAGTGAAAGAAACATGCCCTGGCGCCCAAACTAGAGTCAAAAAGGTCAGTAAAAGAAACACAGTTTGGCTCTGAAATCAGACATCTCTGCCCCTGACCAACGAAACTAACCAATCCCTGAGTGGGTAAAAACTACCAATCCCTCGTCCCCCTGGTAAAACTCCACCCCTTAGCTAAGAAGCCCTATATAAGCCCTGCTCCTGTTCAGTTTGGGGCTGCTTTTCTTCCACCCTGGTAGGGGCAGTCACTCTCCTGGAATCTTCCCTCCAAATAAATCTCTTGAGTGAGGTTTGCATGAAGACCTTCTTTTGCTGGAGCAGAGCTAAACTGTAACACTTTTGCTAGGGAAACTTTCCCATAGCAGGGCTGAGTTGTTACAACTTTGCTGGGGAAGTCAGAAGCAGAATGGAGTGGAACAGGACTGTAACACTTTTGCTGGGAAGCCTTCCCCTAGCAGAGCAGAGTTGTTACACTCTGAAGAGCCAGCACCAAGTTGTAACAACTTCGCTGGAAAGGCCCCTCCTGTCAGAGCAGAGCTGTCATTTTGGGGAAGCCTTCCCTAGAGCCGGACTCTAAGCTGCTTACTGTGGTCTGTGCTATGCCCTGGCTCCCGACTGCCAGAACACTTCCCCTCAAGCTGGAACACTCACTCTTTCTTGGCTCCAAACTGCCAAGATTCCTTTCCTTCTGAGCTGTGACACCTCCAGGGAGAGCCCAGCCCATGTTGGGTGTGGCCACCTGGGTTGGTGGTCCTGGGTTCTATAAGAAACCAGGTGGAGCGACCCATGGGGAGCAAGCCAGAAAGCAGCACTCCTCTATGGACTCTGCAGCAGCTCCTGCTTCCAGATTCTGAGTTCCTGTCCTGATGTCTTTGATGATGAGTCATGGTATGAAGCCAAATAAACCCTTTCTTCCTTAACTTGTTTGGTCATGGTGTTTCGTCACAGCAATAGAAATCTTAACTAAGACATGTTAGTTCCAGGATAATGGGGTATTACTCTAACAGACATGACCATGTTTTGGGGGAGGATTGTGGAAGGATTTTGAAACTTTGGACTAGAAAAGCCATTGAGTGTCGAGAGGTCAGTGAGCTGTTCTGTAGGAATTTGGTGGTAGATAAGAATGTTGAGAGCACTGGGCAGTGGTAGTGCATGCATTTAGTCCCAGCATTTAGGAGGCAGAGGCAGGTGAATCTCTGAGTTGGAGGCCAGCCTGGTCTACAGAGTGAGTTCCAGGACAGCCAGAGCTACACAGAAAAGCCCTGATGCCATCCTCATGACATGATGAAGCTGGAGGCCTCCACTGATAGGGCCACCCATTGGTAACTTCCAGTCCCAATGCTGTGACTGCATTAAATTCTGATCTTTATAAACTGCTTGTCTTGGAGCTAGAGAGATGGCTCAGTGGTTAAGAGCATTGGCTGCTCTTCCAGAGGACCTGTGTTGAATTCCCAGCACCCATATGGCAGCTTCCAACTGCAACTCCAGTTCCAGGGGATCTGACACCCTCCCACAGACATACATGAATGCAAATCAACAATCAATGTTTATAAAATAAATGGATAAATCATTAAAATAATAAAGTGCCAGTCTTGAGACTGATACAAGCCCTACATGTAGAACACCAGGCAAGGTGATGATACATGTCCATAGCTACCACCAAGTCTTCAGTGGGTCTCACTGTGTACAATGCTAGACACAAGATGAATCCTCCAGCTGCGTCTTCATCCATCTGGCCTTGAGATTACCCCCATCCACATAGGCAACTGGAAGCTGGAGGCAGTCACTTTCTATGTGCTGTTCTTGAGCCACAATATTCTCCCCTGCTGGTCTCAGGGCTAACTCCTGTCCTGCAGGAAGACTGAAGGTGACTCTAAGAATAAAGCCCCCATCAAGCCACACTGCCTTGGTGCAGGCCCTGAGCAGCAGCCCCAGAGCCTCCACCCATCACCTTCCCACCAAGTTGGCCACGGGGTCCACCACGGAATTCCACTCTTTTGTTTGTGAGTCATCCACTCAGTGTCTGTTCTTGGCTGCTTCCTGATAGGTCCTGATTGGCTTTCTGTCTACAGAGGAAGGAGACCTTGTTGTGGTACTCTCCTTGGTGAGATGAGCATAAACATCTGTCCACCCAGACAAAGCAGCAGTTCTTCCCAGGCCGACCTTGGCAAATAACTGAGTTTCTTGGGCTTACGGGGGGGGGGGGCGCCCCCGCCAGGCGATGGGTACCTACAGGAGTGTGGGTGACCCAAAAGCAGCTGGGCCACTGTAACGGCCCAGCCCATCATAAACCTTGAGGAAAATGAATTAGAGAGTTTCATTTTAACTAATCTTCAACTTCTTATATACTCCCACATCCTTCAAGATAACTTGCTGTGAAGGGTGGGGCAGGAGAAAGGGAAAGCTGGAATCGCAGGTGTACACAGTGATTCTCTTCCCCTACGCCTTCTATTGGGACTTTCAACAACTCCATTACTGCTACCGCTACTGTTGTTACCTCGACGTCCTGACTACTGGGCCAAGGTTATCTCAACTCCGGGCGAGGATGGGGTGGCCATGTTATAGTACAGGAGAAAGGAGCCACACTACAGCAGGCCATGTGGCACAATTCTGAGATCTGCTCAGAGCGCCCCAGGAGGCATTTGCTTGTGTGACAACAGAGGTGGTTCTCCTCTCCTTGCGCCTGCATTCGGCAGGAGTGTGAACATGGTGTCAAGAATGCACCAGCCATGTGTTCACACACCCACAACTGGGGGGGGGGGTGACAGCAAAGTGGGAAGAGAGCCTTAGTCCCTGACAAGCTCTATTAATTGTGTTAGATTTCTGAGGCAGGGTAAAGAGACAGGAGGAGAGAGACCAGATTCTTTTTGTTGGGGGAGGTTCGAGACAAGGTTTCTCTGTAGCTTTGGAGCCTGTCCTGGAACTAGTTCTTGTAGACCAGGCTGGCCTCGAACTCACAGAGATCCACCTGCCTCTGCCTCCTGAGTGCTGGGATTAAAGATGTGTGCCACCACCGCCTGGGGAGATCTGATTCTTTTTTTTTTCCATCTTTACGTGGCTTTATTTTTTTAATACATTTTTTATTGATATTTATTGAGCTCTACATTTTTCTCTGCTCCCCTCCCTGCCTCTCCCCTCACTCCTTCAATCCTCCCCCAAGGTCTCCATGTTCTCAATTTACTCAGGAGATCTTGTCTTTTTATACTTTCTACTTCCCATGTAGATTAGATCTATGTACATCTCTCTTAGTGTCCTCATTGTTGTCTAAATTCTCTGGGATTGTGGTCTGTAGGCTGGCTTTCTTTGCTTTATGTTTAAAAACCATCTATGACTGAGTACATGTGATAATTGTCTTTCTGTGTCTGGGTTACCTCACTCAAATTAATGTTTTCTAGCTCCATCCATTTTCCTGCAAAATTCAAAATTCAAGATGTCATTATTTTTTTCTGCTGTGTAGTACTTTAT